GCGTCTGTGCCTATTAGAGCTAATTATAAATCGCGTTGAAAGCAGTGTGGGACTGCGTTAGCTTTTCTCCATTACGCTCTATGACTGCTCTCGAACGTTCGTGCCACTCACACGAAAATCCGACAGTAAACCAATTTTAAGAAACTTAAAAGTTTCTTGCGCTCGAGGCCGTTCTTACGTTTTTACTTTCAGTTTTATTGGCTTTCTTTGAGTCATTTTCCTTTACTCTGATTTGTCTTGGGATTACTTCATTGCAGTCAGTCGAAAAGCTTTCTACTCAGTCTACTTGAGTCATTGTCCCGTTTCATTGCAAAAATACCTCTTTGTCTCCAAGTCAAACGTTGTTGGGGTCTGAACTAATTTTTGTTCTCTGCGTCTCTTTTAGAGATTTCATCGACCTTAGATCTCGAAGTCGATAAAGTCTTACAAGTGTTGGATACAAAAGAGTTGACTCTCGATAGCAGTAAGAGAAATAATCCTTTGATAAACGAGAAATAACGTCTTTCTCTAATATGCAACAATACTCTTCCTTTTTTGATCTGCCAGCATTTGATAGGCTTCCATCCACTTTTCATACAACTCCATTCCTAGTGATTGACACGAATTGAACTTTTGCGCTTGTGAAGATTAGCAGTATTTAACGATCTCATCCAGAAGTAACAACGTCTTGCGTTAGGAAATAAGTTATTGTGAAGAGCTTATATTAGGATAACTAAATAAACAATAAAATAGAAAAACATGTTAATGATTTGTAAGAAATCGAGGCTATTTTGCAATTCCACACGCCAATTCTGGCCAAAATTTCCATGTTCGACAAACAGTCGTCGAACGTATGGTTTCTCCATAGCTTAAGTTCTTTGTCACACGTGTAATTCTTATCTCATCTAATGGAAGGGCTTTCTGTTTTTATTTTCTTGTTTTTTTGTTTTGATTGTTCTTACAGCAACAGCGTTATCAATGTTCCCTCTTATCCAATGGCTGACTGACCTTGCTATGTTTGTGGTGGTAGCTTACACATCTCAGCAGAATAAGGAGTCTGCACCAGGGGTAAGATGATAATTGAAAGATGGAGCGCATGTCGATTGAATGTCGTAACGACGTGTCTGTTCGGAAAACACGTCCTCTCTCTCCTCTTATCTCCGTCACCCGCGTTACGAAAAAAAAAACGACTGCGGTTGTGAATTTTAAGAAAAAGTTGATTAAGGCGGATTGTCTTGTTTGGAATGGTTATAAAACCCTTGTCGGAGCCATAAGTGTTCTTTTAAATTAATGAAGTGAATTTGGTGTCGAATCTCAAGACAAAGTTATTATCCAAATAAATGTTACTAGTATCATCAGGCGTTTGCTGGAGAATGTATTCATGCAAGGTTCGCACGGGTCCTGAAAAACCTGGAAAGTCATGGAATTTAATGATTCGTGTTCCAGGCATAGAAAATCTTGGAATTTCAGTTTGGCTCCCGGAAAATCATGGAAATTAGTGGAAAACCAGCAGGCTTTCTGTGAAGTCATAGTAAAGAATATCTAAAGTTAAAAAATTAACTGACAAATCAAAAAATAAGACTTAATTTCAGTAGAAGTACTGTAAGGAGAACTTGCGTGTTAATCATTTCTGAGAGCCAAAAGGTTTGGTCTTTTGGTACATCTCGGACCATTTTTTTATATTTGGTGGTCCTAAAGTTTCACGTCATGGTTACATTTTCCGTCACTAGTATTACAAAAAACTATTTTTGTACGGGTCTTAATTTCCTCACTCTATGCCTTGATGTAGGTAGCTACATCCTAATAAGCTTCCTCACAGCGGCTCCGTGCGATGTCGGCACTGTGCAAAGACGCCGCGCGTTTCGCTTCACGTGTCTCCTTTTCCTCATCTGGAGAACAAATACTTGACAGTTTTCTGTTTTCTCTTAAGGCCCAAAGTTTTTCAACTCTCTTACACCTGACATCAATGGCTCTTCGTCTCTCGCGTCCTTTAGAATAAAACTTTAAGTAACTACTATCAACAACTACTAATTCCATTACGGACTACGGACTGTTATGAGGCTGCCAACATATCTTTTTTCCTATATCTGTTATCTATATTTTCATCATGTACTACTTGTGAGGAAATCCAAGCTTACAAACCTTAACCCTTTCACTAGCATCTAATTTCTCCTTACAATGTCATCCCCAAATTACACATAAAGGTCACAAGAAAAAAGGAAATGATCAGCAACGATCGAAGGCCTTGATTGTTGAACAAATTCTCCTTTTTAGCCGCTTAGGAAATGTATTGAGAACAGAATGGAGAATATGCATACTGATGTTAGGGTGTAAAGGTTAATGGTTGTTCTTAGGTTTCCTCGCAATTATTGTTTTCTTGTTTTGTTTTGTTTTTCTCCTTTAGCAATCGTTATAGAGTGTTATAACGTTACACATAGTGGCAAATATAATACAAAATAAGTAAAATCTTCTCTTTCATTGTGCCTGCGGAAAAAGGAAAGTGACAGGTGATTAAAATTTTCCAGTAAGGCTCTTAATTATTTGTTATAGGTCAGCTTGATCCGTGACACAAGTACTCTCGGGACCTTGCGTGAAATGCTGGTGTTGATCCGTCTTTGGGGACAGACTACACCCGCTGTACTGCCTTCCATCACCCCATCAGCAGGTAAGCTAAACAGCATTAATAGGGATGAAATTCGCAAGTCTCTCGCATACCCTCTTACCCTGATGCCTTGTTAAAACGAAGCTTGTGAGGTAAATTATGTTGGAAATCTTTAATTCGTTGTTATAGTGATGAGGAGGACACAGTTATACTATTCATCGATAAACTTAATCTATATGTTATCCAGAACCGTTATATGAGCTTCCTTATCTTGGTGTTGGGTAATGAATGAAAATAATATATTACCGTAAGCCATTCAGCAAAAAAAAAAAAAATGGGATAAGCTTGTTGATCATGTCCTATTACTTTGCAGGTCTCATTTTACAAATAGAGTAACTGTTACCTTTTCTTACTGTGAGAAAATAGTCTATTTAACTCTGCATAGAAAATAACCTTCGAAGACTGTTACATACAATGGAATAAAAAGAGAATTTAGTGAAGAAAGGACGTACCTAGGGTATCGCACCTCACATAGCTACGTACTGTTCATAGAAGTAATCTGATTATAAATTCAGTGCGGAGGATGAAAAGTATATGTTGTTTACAATGTAAGTCGCCTTAAAAGATAGAGGCGTTGAACGTGCTAAAACAAAAAAAATAATTATTATTTTCCTCGTTGGGAGTTCGACGTGGAATTTACCTGAAAAACGAGCCTAAAGGGAATCGAAGATATGAATAGGGAAATTTGCAGGAAATTTCTGTACGGGATTAACTTTTATCAGAGCGATTTACTTTCTTCTTTATCAGGCGGACTAACATAATTGAAAAATAGCTTCCTACAGCAATCTCACCTAGGATTAGTGACGCTGGCACAGTGATTTCTAGAAAGGCTTTTGTAGTCGACACCCAGTTTACCCAGATGAATCAAATGTAGACATCATTTTTTTTCACAGACAAGAACGAATCATTAGCTTTGTTGTTCAAGATCCTAACAAAGATTTGGCTTCTAAGCAGACAAGCCAGCTCAGATGAACCCGATATCCATGTAGATGACAGGCTGGCTGGTGAGTTGTAAAGAAGTAGTGCTGCTTTAAATGTAATGCTGTATTGCCCATTTAATCATAAAAATTACTATTTCTTTGATTGTGATTGGTTTAAAAAGCTCCTATTTTCCTCTTATTCACTTGCCAAGTTGTTTTCGAACAGCTGGTAATCCAACAGTTCAAGAAGCCAATCACATTTAAGGTTGTAGTTTAAATCAACCAATCACAACATAAAACAATGTACGCCTCCTTCGCTAGTCTTGTGATGTGAATTTTCCCTTTCTTTTATAACATGGCACCTCGTGCCATGTTTCAATCATTCGTATGATTTTAAACAAAATTGGACTCCACTCAGTCCTATTACCATTACCTGTAACCTCAAAGTATATTTACGAAAGATTATTATGCACTTTGCATGCTTCAAAAACCAGAGCTATTTCCCTTAAGAAAAGAGTACTACAATGTATTATTACTAAATATTTTGTGGATAGCATTTAATTGGTTGAGAGTTGGTTAAGTTTTTGAAGCCAATCTCAAAACAAAGCCAAGGGAATGTTTTGGCACCTATCTTTTAAAATTGTCCCAAATCAAATGAGCCTGCGAGCTGACCCCTGTTGTCAGCGCCTGCCGGACGCGCGTTTCTCCATCAGTTGGAAGATTTGAGACGAGTCGGGGAGACATTTGCTAGGGGTCTGGGACTAATGCTGAACACAGTGTAGACCTCTCCCCAGCCCTTGTAGTCAAGGCCTCCTACCTTCTCCTAGGGGAACAAACGCTCGTGCCAATGCTGTTATAATGATGGCCTGTTCACGGGCTAAAATCAGATGCGCAAGGTTTTATAAGTTTCAATTTTATAAAAGTCATGTTTACCTTTCTCTCTTTCTATTCAGCCCCTCTTATTCCAAATTCAATGTCTCTTCAAAACATGCAGATAGGAAATTTGAGCAGAGGTGAGTGTAACGCAGGTTTTAACTCAAAAAGCAAAAATGATATCCTGGAACGATGTATTTTCTCAGTTGTTTGCTTCCAATCTTTGAAATGTGACGGTCTTCACAGTAAAAAAATTTCAGTATATATGGACTAAAACATCTTCCCGTTACGATGCATCAACAAACTTGCCCGTTCGCTGCGCTAACTTGTTGGTTTTTTTTTTTCATGTATCTCAACTCGTGAATAAAAATCGTTCGTGCCGCACTTTGCATGGGATGGTCTCTATGTATATGTATTGATTGGGATAATATAATATTTATTGGGATAATCTCTCTATATATGTATTTTTAATACATGCGTAGCTTTAACTTTAGCTTCAGTGTAACTTGATCATCGAATTTATAGCGGAATCATAGTGTTGTGGATGCCGTTTCAGGGGATATCAGTTTAGAAATTGAGTGTTTTTGTATTGGTTTGGCCAGTGTTTCTCAGAAAATGTGAGCATGTATCGGAGAAAACACTAGCTCTCGTTTGTTTATATGTCATGATTTATCTCTTGATGTTGCGAGCAATGATTAGTTTGAGTCATCAGTAGGTCAAATCATCAAGGATGAATGAGAGAGAATTAACTTAAGTCTCAAAAATTTGAGTTGTTGGAATTTCATAGCCAGCGCTTAGGCCCTCACTATTATTAGCGCTGCGGGCCAGTTTCTCCACCCGCGGGAAGATTTGAGACGAGTCAGGGTGAAGTTTGCTGGCGTCTGGAACTAATAATAAGAACAGCGCCGCTTGCAGACCTTTCGTAAGCTGGTGTTGCTCAAAGCCTCGAACTTTCACTAAGGCAAAGAAACGCGCGCACTGAAGCACTGATAATTACGGCCTGCTTTTAGGCTAGGAACTTCATTGTAGTTTTCTGATATAGCAAATGCCTCGTTAGAAACTCTTAACAACTATATCAGGCTTGTTTAACCGGTTTTGATTGGAGAAAGACTTGTTCGCAGGAATTGTTTTTACAATTTATATTATGGAATGGCGGGTGAATCGCGAATCCTTTGATCTGATAGGCTACCTACGCGGGTAAGATGAGCTTAGTAGCATTGTTGATTTGGGAGTGTCCGCGATGTTACTGCAAAAGCGAATCTTTCGGCCTTGAAATGAGTCCATTTTGTTCGCATTAAACGGCTGGATAATGGCCTCATACTTATTCAGTACGTTAGGTCCGCTGAGGTCAGTAATGAGGTCCGTTTCAGAGTATCCTTGCCCTCACGATTGGTCATTAATGCATATTTTTCACTTTAGGAGTGTCCGGTAAAGCTGTAAGTGGACCAATCCGGCCCAGTGTGTATCAGTTCGGTTCACCGCCAGTGGCGCACCAGTATCATCAGATCTTCCATCCATTCGCCTCAGCCATTTTCCCGATGCCTGCTGACGGCTCGCATGTCATGGATATCGTAAGAAGGGTCTACTTGGACAAATCACCGGAGACAAAGTTAAAACAGTGCACCAGGTAACAAGTTGTGTGATGAAGGCAACCTTTTGTATTATAATGAAAAATTCTGAACTTGGATTTGCCTATCCAAGAATGCTAATGTGTCAAATGAGTCCTATCTTGCTGTTCCCTTCTCGAAATAATCCATTGTGATCAAACTTTCGTTCTCTCAGGTGCAACTGTGTATCCCTGGTGGAAGGGATCAGTGACCACGCGGCAGCAAGAGCGTGGGATCAGCGATGGATGAGGGCGTGTGTGTGCGGCGGTAGCTGGAGGAAGTTGCCTTACAAGGAACAACAGACTGTCGTAACAGCCGCCACTACTTCTTCTTCATCTTCTTCCGATGCTACAGCCTCAGCCTCCGTCAGTAGTCAGTAAAAGCATATTTAACTCGCAGTCCGCCCTTGAACCTTAACCTTGAGTTGTAACCTTTTTTAATCTTGAGCCTTAAGTTTCTGTGGCTTCTTGTGTATACATACTAACGACAACACAGCAACAACAGCTTGATTTGTAAAGCCAAGAGGTTAAAAAGAGATTAAGGAAAATAAAAAGGAATACTGACATAAAGACATGAGGCGAGGAGCACAGAGAGTCAATGCATTGTGGATCGGTTACGTACCTAAGGCACATACAAAGAAAAGAAATATATAAAACCGTCTTCAGAGTAACTAGCCGAAGCCTGCATTAATATTGTATTTTAGGTAAACTTATTATGTAAAGTAGCATTAGTTTCGTATTGTAATAAAACTAAAAAAAAGGAAAGAAAAAAGGGAAATCAGAGTTCATTCGCCGGTGTAAATCACAGTGGGCATATGAAGAGTTACATGGAACATCTTGTAAACAATATCTTTACGAAAGTAGAATACTTCCTGAGTACAATCAAAATTCAGCTTACCACGACGGTGTTACCGTCTTTAAAATCGTATCGATACAGAAAACAAAATAAGAAGTGAAACCACATGTAGAACAAATCGAACTATTCTTTTGCCGGACTTTTGATTATGTGTATCATCTTTAAAGTATTGCCGTTTGTTGCATTACTGAAGTGAAAGCTGCCAAAAATATTTGCAGCTACTGTAGTTCAGCTGTAAAAATTAATTTTTCATGTGAGTTCGGTCAACTGGGATGACTGTGTTTGCTTATCTCCCCAACAAGTCTCGCCCCTTTGATAGCAGTAGTTACAGTATCACAAAATTTTTGTTCTATTACTCTGGCGTCAGTTCTCCACAGACTGTTGATTTTCCTAGATCGTTTCGTTGCTAGGAAGTGTTTCTCAACCTACTTCTGTTTGCCTGTGCGTATACAAAACAAATTTGTAAACGTGATCCTTTGACACAATATTAATAATCATAGGCGAACCAGATCCCAGAATTTCAGTAGATTTTGACCCCTACTGAAATTCTGGGATCAGCCGAAATTCAAATGGGCAGTTTAATACAAAACCTACCATGAGGCGAGCCGGCGGAATTCCCAATGAGAATACAGACGCAACAAGGATGTGGAATTCTAATGAATGGAGAATGCGCATGGGGTAAGAATGGATGGCGGCAGCTGGTTATTGCTTTATCTCGAACCTAGCAAATGACACAACTAAGACGCCAATATTTTGAAAACGTTACGGCGATGACAGTGCTGGCTTTATCTGGACTGTCCTGTCCCTCTATTTGCACACAAAATATCTCAAATACTTTCTTACTGACAAATCTAGAGAGAGGATTTAAAAAACCCTCGGTGCGAGTATAAACGCTAGGCAGCCTCCACAGACCGCACCCCCTGGACGACTGTTGCATATAACGACCAATCTATTACAGTTGAAACAGAGAGTGAATGATGACCAAATATACCCTCTATCGGTAAATAGGGACCTTTAGCAAATTACGACGATGACGGCAACGAGGACTTGGCGAAAAAAGAAAGATCTACTAGGCAGAACAATAGCTCAGCCAGTGTGTTTTACGACTGTGTACATTTCTTCGCCGTACTCTGCAAAACAACATCGTAAAATCATCAAAATTTGCGTGATCTGAGAGAGGAAACCCCAACGGCAAATTATTTAAGTTTCCATTTGGAACTCAACGCCGCTCTCATACGTTATCCTGAGGCTCACTTACGGCGCCGTAAGAGATGGTAAACACATCCAGTCATTCGCAAAATTCCAAACAAAAATATGTATTCATTGTTAAATGCTCTTCTAAAGATCTAAAGGTTGCTTATAAGCCAGTATATAAACAAACATGTAGGAAGGATAATTTCACACGTATAAAACATACCCACGAGTATATAATTCACTGTAATATAATAATTCCGTATATATTTACATAAGTAATCCCAATCTTTTTTCATTGAGTCAGAAGACCGCAGGAGATTTCGTTAATATTTCATTTTCTTAAATGTCGCAATATCACTGATCAAATTTCTTGTTCTTTCGCAATCTCACATATTCAACTCCGAATGTCACTTTATGTTCCAAAACATTTTGCACTGGATATGTCTTGGGGAACATTTTTAACAGTCCTGAGGGAGTCCACTGCATTAAGGTTCCACTGTCTGGTGTTCATAAAAATTTTGCACCGGTCACTTCTATTCAGGGGACACTATTTACAGTCCTGAGGATGTCCTCTGCACTGAGGTTCGATTGTCTGGCTATGTGTGTTATAATAATAGCCTCGAGGGATTTTCAATATTGAGTTTAAATGTCTCTAACCATCTTGCAGCTAATTCGTCATCAATCATTCGTCGATCACATGACAAAGTGACCGTCATAACACTCTGTATTTTATCGTCGGCTGTTAAAACAGGGCGGGTTCCACCGACAGCCATGATACAAGCTTGAGGTGGGTTAATCACCGCAGAAAACTCGGTGATACCAAACATTCCAAGGTTGGAAATTGTGAAGGAACCACCCTGGAACTCGTGCGGCTGTAACTTGCCTTCTCTAGCTCGGCTGGCGAGATCCTGTTGCAAAGAAAAGATACAATTCAGCTCACGTGCAACTCCTGTAAATTCTAATTTCTTTCCTTCTTTACGCTTATCGTCATTTCTCGAAAACACGCCCAGGCGCGAGGATCTTTTTTCGATTAGTTTATGTAGTTTCTTATTGAGAGCTGCTTCAAATCTTTACCCCAAAGTGAAGAGGCACTCTTTAGAGGTACTTAAAGAAGACGTCCATATTATGTAAAAGCATTTTATTTTACAAGCTTGTCGGTTTCATGAAGGTTTATCTCCATTGTAATTTCGCCCCATACCACCTTTGCGAGTTCACCTCTTTCAGAAACATGATACTTTTCGAGCAACATGCACATTTTTTTTCTGAGGCAACCGCTCGGGCAGGAGAGCACGGTAAGTAGCTGTGAAACTCTGGGCTCCACGGAAAACGAATGCGAGTATTAAACTACGAAATACGTACGTTGGTACGTTGTTTACCCCAAAAGACTACAAGTTTAAGGCTTTATTACATCAATAAAACCAGTCAAACGTGAAGTAGCTCCTTCAAGCGTGTGGTTTCTCAAGCCAGATCCTTATCAGTATCTGAGCACTGCGCACCTACTCCTCCCCTATCCCAATAAAAGTCAACTGATAACAAGTTGGGGTTAATGCTGGGTTTCAGTGGGGAGAGGTAGGTCCGCGGTTACTCAGATACTGACATTGATCCCCGAGCATTGCACCTAGGTAGGTCTTAGCGCTACGTTCCTGTATTTGGAATTATCAACTCTACCTTGAGAACAGTTGAGATCTCCGCAATTTTTAGTGCGTCTGCTGTTTTCACAATGGGTGTTATAAGCCCAGCATCAGTTGCTACAGCGACAGAGATATCCACATCTTTCACAAGTTTAGCTTCTTCACCGTTCCAAACAGCATTCATCTCTGCGACCCGTCTTAACGCCAAGCCCGCTGCTTTAATGATAAAATCGTTCACCGAAACTTTCACTTCGAGACTCTTCCTTAATTTCAGAAGATTGTCCATGACACAGTCTGTTGAGGCATATGTATGTGGAACAGAAGCTTTGGACTCTGTCAGTCTCTTGGCAATGGTACGGCGCATGTTAGTGTTAGGTAAGTCTATGAACTGCTGACCACCTTTTGGAACCGGAGGAGGCTCTGATGAGACTGGCTGGGGCTTTGAAACTGAAAGACAAGTCATAATAGAATTACGAATGAAAACGGTCATGCTACGCAAACAAAGTACGGATTGTTTATCGTACTGTTGATATCAACAAGATTCGTATCTTACTCCTTTACCTCGTACCTCAAGGAGTGGTAACTCCAAAACCTTCATAAGACCACATTCAAATTGCAATCAATATGCATACAGCTTTTTTCCCTGGTCAGTCAACCAATGGAATAGACTTCCAGGTGACATTGTAAATATAGATGATAATTTAATTGCGCGACCATCTTATCGAAACTGGGAAGTGGTTTTAAAAAATTTCTCTTATCACATATATATTTATTATAAGTGTTTATTTATTATTTATTTTTTATTTTGTTGTATCTGTATTAATGTGATGCGTTGATACGCTTTATCAATAAATAGAGTAGAAGTAGCTTCAAGAACCCATATTAACGAAAGATGAGGCCTCCACAATTGTACTTTATTCCGCTTTAAGTAAGTCATCTGTTTTGAATAAGCAACCATTCACTTGCCTTGTAACATGACTGCTAAATGTACTCCACTAAGGGAGGGATATATATCAGTAAAGATATAAACAGTAAAAGTCTATAAGCAATAGATAGACAAATACAAAGTTTGTTGCTTTTTTCATGTCTTCAAAGTTTCATCAGACTGAGTTCTAAGTGGAAACTTTGAAATCCACAGAGAATTTAAAAGGTTGCATCGTACATTTGCCTTCTGTCTGAAGGATAAAATATGTGATTCATTATTCTCTGACTATTAGACTATTATACATTACTTTGCGAAATAGTTAGGAGAATTTGGTGGTGAATCAAAATAAAACCTTAACTATTCTCATCACTTTTAACCCTTTACACCCTAACATCAGTATCCAAATTCTCATTACTCTTCTCTTCACATTTCCTTTGATAATAACAAGGAGAATTTGTTTAACATAAAGCTTTTCAGGTTGGCGATCATTTTGTTTAATCTCATGATGTTAATAAATGATACAGCAGTCTTACGGAAAGGAGAAATTAGATGCTGGTCACTCTTAAAGGTAAAAGTGTTAAACTAGATAATGTATATAACTGCAGGGAGAAGTTTAGAGGTAGTTGCTGAGTTTCTGGAGTTCTAACTGATATACCTGTACCTGCCACTGGTGTCTCAGGTGTAGGAGTGGGTTTTGGAGGCAACTTCTGAGTAGGAGTAGCTTCCTTGTCTGGTTTTGTAAAAGGCTGCCCTCCCTGTGCCACATATCTGAGCACGTCACCCTTCAGAAGCCTGCCTTTTGGACCTGTTGCTTGAATGAGCCTGGGATTCAGGTGATATTTTTCAAGAAGCAGTCTAACAGCAGGTGACATCAGCACTTCAGCATCAACATGAGCAGTAGAGGTGCCTTCAACTGGGGCAGCATCCTCTGTTTTTCTAGAAATTTCTTTCCAGAAGATAAATTCAAAGTTAGAACTGGGTCAGCACACATTCTTTTACAAACCACTGACCAACTATTCACACTAAGTTTTACATTTTCTAGCTCTGCCAAAAACTATTTTAATCAGGGTAGTTTATGTTATTTCAGTTTTAAAAAGAAATTTAAAAATTTAAAAAAATAAATATTTCATCCAGCAGAAAAGCAATTCTTGCAGCCTGGAAAAAAACTCTGGAACACAATTTTTTCAATGTCTCATTTCTCACTTTTTTTTCAGATTTTACAAATAACTTTGCAAACTTTAACACTTCAAATAGATCTCAATTTTTCATTCAACACTGTTTGTAAAATGCTGAACACCGAGTATATGAATTCAATCTCAAACTCAATAATAATTTAAATCTTTAAATAAAAGAGAATTACAACAATCATTAACACAAAACCTCAGCTTACATCAAGACATGATTAAAATCATTGTCTGTTTATCTTTGGTTTCTATAACAGCACATACTGATATAACTTCCCAAAAGGGCTGGAATACTCAAAGGTTCTGTACAGAAAATGCTCCACAACCTTATTCCTTCCAAAAACCTCCAAAAGTTTTGGCGCACTCCATCACTTAAATTTTGAATTTTTACTCAAACTTTCATTTATTGCCCTCTCTCCCTCATTTCAACGTTGGTTGATGTAACTAAATGGTCACTAATTTCAGGAAACATTGTTTGGTTGAAAGGGGGAGCTTGCAAGTAACTTATTGGAGATGAATTATAAGATTTCTGTTTATTATGATGAGTGCAGGTTTGTCAACCTAGTAAGGGGAGGCATGCCAACTTAGTTTGACACTCATTATAGCTTGAAGGATACTGCAGTTCTCTTCTTCCTTAATGTGTTGTATTATGATGAAATGAAAAAAGAAAGACTAATTATGGTAAGGAGCTTAATAAACAAGTAACTTCTACAAATACTTCAGATTCAATTCTACACATCATCATCATGGGTTTGCATATCTTAAATGGTTAAAAAAATTAACTATCTGTGGAGGCTTCGTATATAACATCCAACAAAATTTTGGATTTTCTATTTTGTTGTCAAGAATGTGGGCATAGGCTGGCTGACCAACAATAAAGAAGTTGCAGTCAACCTGATATACAAACAGCACAATTTACCCTTTATCTTTCACTCAAGACATCACAGATGAAATCAATGAGTGACCGTAACACTTATTAAAAGTTAAAGAGAGCCTTTACTTTAAGATCAGATGTACAGATACATGTACAGGCTTTTAAAAATCCATTAAAAAATTGGAAATTAATTTATCTGCACAAATGCCACATGAGACCCATTAAGAAAGAATATCTGCAGTCTGCATGGGGCTGAAAAAGTTAGTTTTGGCTTCAAGCCCAAGATCTGAGAAGGAATTCACTCTCCTGGCTAACCACAAATTTCTTTATAAATTAGTTAGAAGAATTATTTGGCGTCATATCAAGATAACGTCCTCCTAAACACCTACTTTATATTTGTTGGACCGAGTTATGAAGAGGGAACACTGAGATTCAACAAATATCAAAATGTCCTACCTGTATCCAGTGGCACCTCAGCCTGTGTATAATCCACACCCTCCTCCACCATCAATGCAATCAGTTGATTTATTTTGACATTCTTGCTTCCAGCTGGAATGATAATCTTTGCCAAGATACCTTCCTCATCACTGTCCATGGCAATGGTGGCTTTGTCAGTTTCTATCTCACAGAGAACATCTCCTGGAGAGATAGGATCACCTTCATTCTTCATCCATTTTATGATGGTTCCTT